TCAGCAGCTAAATTCCTTCAATAATGGCCGTGTCTAAAAAATAAAAATACTGAACCATCGTGTAGCAGCAGAAGAAACATTTCTGAAGGATACTAGGGTGGCATAAGAGTACACGATTTCACTACATTGATATAGTGACTATACAGTAAAATTTTAACTTTGTCATCCAAGCACTGATAATAGCATAGAGAAACATATTTACCTTAAAATTTAAAAAACAATCATAACAAAACTTTTCTTCAAAAAGATATTCAGAAAATGAATAAAATCAAATGCTTCTATGGCCCTAGTTAAAAATTAGGACAATAGCAGATAAAAACATATAGTACTACCTCTTGTATCTGGGTTTATCCATGATGTTGCACAGTGAATTTTCAATGGACACCCATTAAAAACCTTTGAAAAACACGCACCCATCTGGAAAAACAAAGAATAACCAATATGAAGCAGTGACAAACAACAGTCTTTAATATAATATATAAAATGTCATTATTTTCTATTTTAATGTGGGAGACTATAGATAGTCCACTGAAATTATGATCATCTTCAAATTTACAGTAATAAATGCATTGTCATAGCCATTTGCCTAACAGCAGTACCACAAGGCTCCAGGTATAATTATTTTACTTAAGCAAGGTTCCAGGTATAATTATTTTACCTAAGAGAAAAATAAAAAACAATTCAGTCCTATTTTATTTTTCTATCTTCTCAACTAAGCAAAGCAACAATAGCAACCAATTCTGAACAATAATTTGCTTATAAGAATATCACTTACATGTCCCTTATTATAAGCAATACAATATTCCCTGGTAAAAAGGAAATCATAATCTTTACAAAGGTAGAAATTTTTGTTTGGTTTCATAAGTCTAAAAACGTTATTATTGTTGAATTTCATATCACAAAGGTTGAAGACTCATTTTTTAAAACTCAGTAATCTGATTATTTTCCCTGGAAAGATTCATTAAAAAGACTTACTTTTTATTTATTTATTTTATTATTTTTTTTTATTTTTATTTTCTCAATATACAATGTAGTTAGTTATTGTGTCCCATCACCGAAACCTCCCTCCCTCCNACCGGTCTGTATGTGGGATCCGAACCCTCGGCGGGAGCGCCGCCGCACTCCCAAGCAGCACTCTGTAGCAGTGCGCCACCGGGCCGGCCCAACAATAAATCTTTCTGAGTGTCAGTCTTCCTACCTGTGAAATAAAGAACCTACCTTAGATTTTTAGAAGATTTAATAAGAATACGTGTGTGTATAAGTACATACACACACATATA